TTTATTTTCACAGCCTTCTTTGATCATATTTACCAAGGGTGCCAATAATTCTGACCACGACTATATGATCAAAGAAGGCTGTGAAAATAAGTTTGCATTGTTTATACATTTGATCTTTCATTAAAAAAAAAAAAAATCTAACCTTTAATTGAAGTACAAAAAGTGGTGCAAAATCACATTATGAAATAAATATTTTTCTTTAGTACACAAACAATGGCCAAAATTATTGGTACCCCTAGAAATTATTATGATTAAAATATGTTCCATTCATAGTATATTATACATAGAAGTATATTCCCATTCATGTTTGCATTTGTTATCACACCAGTGTGACTAAGAACATGAAATTATCCAGCCTTGGCCTCCTTTTTCACAAGAATATAAATATGAAGGAACACAAAGGCCAGATTCTCTTAATCGTTGATCACAATAAGTAAAATCAAATAATATATTTCTGATGTGCAGCAAAAGATTGTTGAACTTCATAAATTAGAATGTGGCTGTAAGAAAAGAGCTAAAGCATAAAAAATTCCCATTTCCACCATCAGGGCAAAAATGAAGAATTTCCATTCAACAGAAAATGTTACAAATCTGCCTGGAAGAGGATGTGGGTCTATTTGGTCTTAAAGCAAGGTGAGGAGGATAGTTTGAGTGGCCAAAGACTCTCCGAGGATCACAGCTGGAGAACTACAGAAAATAGTTAAGTCTTGGGGTCAGAAAGCCTAAACAAATGATCAAACAGCACCTACGTCACCACACGTTGTTTGGGAGGATTTGAAGAAAAATCTAGAAAACACTCTCAGTCAAAAACGAACTCTAAAAACACTACTGGAACTTCAAATGGTACTGGCTTCTGTGGTCAGATGAAACTAAAAATAGCTTTTTAACAGCAAACACTCAAGAGGGGTTTGGTGCACACAGGGATAAAAAAGTACCCCATGTGTACAGTGAAATATACTGGTGCATATTTAATGTTGTGGGCCTATTTTCTGCCAGAGATCCTGGATATCTTGTTCAGATAGATGGCATCATGGATTTTAGCAAATACCAACAGATAAAACAATTAAAACCTGACTGTCCATGCTTGAAATCTTATAATGGGCCATAGTTGGAACTTCTAAAAGGAAAAGGATCCACAAGCAGACATCAAAATTGTAACAAAAATGGGTCACTGGGAACAAAACCAAGCTTCTGCCCAGCCATCCCAGTTCCCTGGCGTGAACCCTATAGAAAATAAATGGGGTGAACTGAAGAGAAGAAGCACCAACATGAACCTGGAAATCTGAAGGATTCTAGATGAAGGAATGGTCTCTGATCTCTTGTTTTCTAAACTTATCAAACATTATAGGTGAAGACTCAAAGCTGTTATCTTTGCAAAAGGAGGCTGCAAAAAGTATTGAATAAAAGGGTTTGATTAATTGTGGCCAATGTGTGTTAGAGAAAAACATTTATTTCGTTATGAGATTTCCCTCCCATTTTAAATTCTTATTCTCCGATGCAAGGTTAGAGTTTTGTAAATTTTTCAAATAAAAGATCAAAAGGATTAATGATACAGATTTATTTTCACATCCTCCTCTGATCATATTTACCAAAGGGTATGAATAATTTCGAGCACAACTGTATACCTGTACAATGCAGGACTGCTTAAAAGTTTTTGACAAAGCATGCACAAAGTCTCTCACGGCTTGACAAAATTCTCAAAATGCCCATCTTGGCAATTATAACTGAAAATGAGTTTAAAATTTAAAGGAGTAGTTTGTGCTTAATTATCGCTTTAAAGCACAGTTTATGTCATCCGTATCCTCGATTTATTGTATTAGACATATTGTTTGCAATATATATAAAATTACTTTTTACTTGTTGAATATTCTATTTCCTTTGGAAATATGTCAGATTATGGAAGTAAAATGGCTTGAGACATGAGTGTTTGTAGCTGGTAGCCATTATTAGCACTTGTGATGTGAGTCAGTGCCCTATTAAGCTGTGCAACCATATTTCACTTGCTTTTTATGTGCTTGCAAACATCTCTTGCACTCTTGCACTTGTGAAGCATGCGATTTCAGCAATATCTGTCAACAATCAGCTCTTATATTGACATAAATGTGTTGCATATACATGGTTTAAATCTTATGCATATTCTGCTCTGGTCATCTAGGGGTGAAGCCGTATGCTTGCTCCATGTGTGACAGGCGTTTTTTCCAACGTTACCACCTCCAGAGACACAGCCTCACACATACGGGTATGAGCCGTCTCTCCTTACCCTTTGCATTGTTCTTGACCTGACTACACCAATGCACAGCTTAGCACTGTTGCCAACTTGTCAGTGTTTGTCACTATATTGTTTTTTTTTTGTTTTTTTGGATTGTTACCTTGGCAATGAAGAAATTGATGAAAACCTGTTTGAAACTTGGTTTCTACACTAACAAGATAATAAACAGGGAACTGATTGTGAACATGGAGAAACCTCCAAATATTTCTGGCTCAGTATTATTAAACAGTTGGCAGCAATGCTTTAATACCTTGTACACATTGCTTTTTATAGTTCATGGCAAAACAGTTTGCAAACATAGTTTGACTGCAACAAACTCGAGTTTGGCCATAGTTACAGACAATGCAATGGGGTGTTGGACATACTGAAAGTTTGTATTCATCAAAACTTAACACTCCGGTACTCTGTGTTTAGGAGTGAAGCCTTATGCTTGTTACATGTGTGACATGAGGTTTTTTCAGCGTTACCACCTGCAGAGACACAGCCCTAACCCATACGGGCAATGCACATTTAAGCATATCAAACACTTTAGTTTGCAGCCTTTACCACATGGCAATCACACTTTCCATGGTTCTCAATATGCATTAAGGCTTTTTTTTGTGACCAATTTTTTTTCAGTGTCCTCTGAGTTGCACCTATTTTATTTATTTAATTTTGTCAACGTTGTCATCTCCAGTGACACAGTCTCAGCCACGGGGGTGTGTGTAATGGCTGGCCCATTCTCAGGGAACTGTGCCATATCCCGGCACAGGAATTCTCTTTTGTTTGTTTGTTTGTTTGAAGAGGTTACTGCTGAAAGTTACTGCATCCATGAAATATGTTCCCAACTTAGCCCAGAAGTGCAGGGCCATAACACTCATAGATATTGAGGGACACCTTGGGGGGCACATCCTCCCACAATATTCAGTTTACTACTTAACCAATAGATGTTTTTTTTTTTTTTTTGAGCACACTTTATATTGGTTGTTAACTACTATGTGCTTACGTTAAGGTGCTATGGTTAGGTTTAAAGGTGCAGAAAGTGATTTCTGAGAAACGCTGTTGATATGTAAAGTCAACACCCAAACAAACCCACCGCTAACAAAAAAGAAACGCGTCCCTCCCTTCATTGCTCTGCCCCCAAATTCATGAACACGCTATGCTACACAAACAAACATAGTTTGAACACACACAGTAAAGGCAGCTAGAAAATATTCACAAATTTGTTTGTATGATAATTTTCAACACTGTTTCTCAGAAATAACTTCCTGCACTTTTAAGTGTGGGTAAAGGGGTGTGGGTATTGTCAGCAGCAGTGGTTGCATTAAAGGGGTCATATGATGTTGCTAAAAAGAACATTATTTTGTGTATTTGGTGTAATGTGTTTATGCGGTTTAAGGTTAAAAAAACACATTATTTTCCACATACTGTGCATTATTGTTTCTCCTCTATGCCCCGCCTTTCTGAAACGCGTCGATTTTTACAAAGCTCATCGGTCTGAAAAGCGAGGTGTGCTCTGATTGGCCAGCTATCCAGTGTGTTGTGATTGGCTGAATACCTCAAGCGTGTTACTGAAATGTTACGCCCCTCACCATATTGTGATGCCGTGTCCCGGCCGGGGCGACGAGACAAAACCAATTAACACTCGAAAGAGAAAGGAAAACTTGAAATCGCATCACATGACCCCTTTAATCAAATATTTTTCATCATTGATTGATTTTTTTTTAGCAGTGAAGGAAAAATCTATTGCAACTTGTAACTGTAATTTCCACCCCTGTCTAGTTGGTGGTGAGTGTGCATATTAATTAGCTGTTATTTATTATTGTCTCGTATTTGATCTGTGGAGCACATTATGTGGGATTTCCTCCCGGTGAAGCAATGCTTGCAGGATTGGAAAATCCCACATTCAGAGATTCCTGCAAACTACTTCCCTGGAAGAAAATTTTGACTGAAGTGATGCGGGTAATTCCAGTGTCCAGCAGAGACCGTAGCTGAGCGCCTATATTTCAGACACAAACATTGTGTTTTACTGTGAAAAACAAACAAGCAATTAAACATTCATCTGCTTTATGTGGTGTTGAACATGAAAAGTGATGCACAGTCTCTGTTCATTTGTTCTCTTCATAAATAAACAAATGCATAATAGTAAATTCATGATTAAAAATTAAAATGTGAACAAAAACTGTATTCCATTTCTTTTCAATAAATTATGAAAATTAAAAGGATGGGTAATAATAGATTATAATGAAATTTTTACGACCATGTCCATCAAAATGACAGACAATGAGAAAATCTAATGCAACCACTGGTCAGCAGTGTAAGTGCATAATAGTTAAAGACACTTAATATAAATTTGGACCTTTTTTTTTTCAGTGGCTAATTCTTAAACTGTAACCACAACCTCAATACTAAAAACACTGATCAGCCACAACATTAAAACCACCTGCCTAATGTTGTGTAGGTCCCCCTTAATACTGCCAAAACAGCTCTGGAGCATCAAGGCATGGACTTCATAAGACCTCTAAACGTGTCCTGTGGTCTCTGGCACCAAGACATTAGCAGCAGATCCTTTAAATCCTGCAAGTTGCAAGGATGGATTAGATTTGATGGATTCTGCAAGTTCACATTAATCGGATTTTTTCATCCAGCACATCCCATAGATGCTCAAATGGATTGAGATCTTGGAAATTGGGAGGCTAAGGCTACACCTTGTTCCTCAAATCATTCCTGAACATTTTTTGCAGTGTGGCAGGGTGCATTATTCTGCTGACAGAGGGCACTGCCATCAGCAAACAGCACAGCCATAAAGGGGTGTCTGCAGTAATCTTTAGGTTTGTGTCAAAGAAACATCCACAATAATGCCAGGACCCAAGGTTTCCAACAGAACATTGTCTAGAACAAAACACTTCCTCGGTTGGCCTGCCTTCTTCCTATAGTGCTTCTTCCCCTGCTGCCATCTCTTCTCCGGGTAAACAACTAAAAGACAATGTGATTCATCAGACCAGGCAGACTTTTTCTGTGAATCCAGTTCTGTTGCTCATGTGTCATTTTAGGTGCTTACAGCGGTTGACAGATGGGCACGTCGACTGATCGGTGGCTATACAGACCCAGGAAACTTGTGTGTTTTGACACGTTTGTATCATGAGGTGCATTACATTTTTCAGCAATTTGAGACACAGTAGCTTTGTGTGATCAGACCAGACAGGCTAGCCTTCACTTCCCACATACATTATTCTTGAGTGCCCATGACCCTGACTCTGGTTCATTGGTTGTCCTTCCTTTGTCCATCATTTTTGGTAGGTCCTAACCACTGCAACCCGGAAATACCCCACAAGACTTGGTGTTTTGGAGATGCTCTGAGCCAGTCGTCTAGCCATAACTATTTAGCCTTGTCAGAGTCACTCAGATCTTTTCGCTTGCCCGTTTTTCCTGCTTGCAACACATGAAATTCAAGAACTTACTGCTCATTTGCTTTCTAATATATCCCACCCCTTGACAAGTACCATTGAAACAGTATATTAAATCAATGTTATTCATGTAATTTGTCATTTAAATGTTGATGCTGATCAGTGTGTGCCTTGCAAGGTTCTAGTAATTATGTATTGTTACTAACCCTGAAGCACTACATATATTTTAAACCTGTCACTGTAACATTTTGAATTCAATAACATTGAAATCTAATCCAGAGTAAAAAGAGGTGTGTGCATTAGAGGCAGCATATGATGATGCACATGAAGGCAGCGTAAACGGCTAATTATAAGTTAGAAAATATAACTCCATTTCTCTTATGTAATGTTTTGAACAATTATCAACTCCTTACATTCAAAACTGGGTTAAAGGTCAGTGCAATGATGGCTCAAAATGGCCTTAACTAGGAAATAATACCATTGCAGCAGACAGAATGAGTTAATATTTCTGTAAATATAATAGAAAACATCACTGTTTTTTGTTTTGCTCTAATCAGTTGTTCCAAGTGGCAACACTGGCCCGTGCCTTGTTTCACAGTGGGAAAACGAAGGAGATAGAATTGTTGCATAATTCTAAATAAATTAACAACCAAAATTAAACATTGACAAATTAATAGAATGAGATCCACAAATAAATCTTGGTTTCCCAAACATGAATTATATTCACAAATAAATACCCCCCCCCCCCCGTACATTTGTGAATGGCTTACTGTGCATTTGTGGATCGCTGCACACATTTGTGGATTTTGAAACATTTCTAGCATCAAGACGCTAACAATCCACAAATGTGTGGACTCCACCCACCGTCAGCCAACCCAGTTCAGCACTCCAGTCAAGTCACATGTTTGTGTAATATTTTATACAATAGATTCCTGTAAAGAGAAAAATATATATATTATAACTTCAATTTCTGCTATGCAGCAGCTCTCCAGTGTATTCATATTTTACTCACGTTTGATCTTGACAGACTGACATCACACCAGTTTGTCTTCAAGTTTCACTTGAATTATATCGAGGCCTTTAAGGTTATCTATAGTGTCCTCCAAAAAAATTGTAGACCCATTTTTTTTGGTCCATGCAGATGGTGCGTGTGCCACAGCGCAGGCACGAGGTGAATGTTGAGACAGAAAGAGTCCACTAGGTGCTATTGCACGTGTTGAAGTCGTCCATCCATGCTCATCTGCGGTTGAGTGTAGTTTGTAAGCTGTGCATGAAATGGTGCGTAATGCAGAAAAAGAAAGAGTACTCGGGCCTTAAAGCTGCAGCAGAAATCAGTCCCTTGTCTACACATTTACTATTTTCTGTAAAAGAAATGGCACATAGAGGATAGTGAACAGTTCAGGCAGTATGATTTCCATTGGGGAGGATGAAATCTGTGATTTTGCGTCTGTGTCACACAAGCCACCACTCTGTACCTCCACTTCAGAGACATAGCACAAAGCAGATCATATGTACAAGTCAGCACAGACAACAAAACACATGTGACCCTTTAGAAATCTACACAGAATGCTACATTTTAAAGCAGTTTCAAATATTGTAAATGGTTAGACCGCCCCAGCATTATAAACCGAACTAACAAGAAGAAATTATGCTTGTCATGCAGCAGCCTTAAAACTACACATCATCGCCATTTACTAAAAATGCTTGGCTTAGTAGCCATTTCATATTAAATCTAAAATGGGAATCCGTTAGACCATTATATATTAGTTTTTTTTACAATATCTGTGTTTTTTTCCAACAGTTTTTGTATCTCATTTATGGGGCACAAATGGCACCATTTCCTGAGAATGAGCCTACTGTTGTGAACACTTTTTTTGTTTGTTTGTTTTTTTTAATTTGATTATTATAATTATTTGTTCCCTCCAGGCTCCATATGCATGGAGGCTTTAGTTGTTTAGTTGTTATTTTAAATTGTATTCAATTTTTTTAATAGAGAATTATGCATTTAAAAATTGTATATTTTTTTTCCCCCTTGTGAATGTTCTGTTATCTTTAATCATGAAGTTGCTACATTGAAGCTGATATCTGAAAGTCCATTCTAATACTAGTACTCTGCATTTAGGGGTGAAGCCATTTGCTTGCACAATGTGTGATATGAGTTTTTTCCAACGCTACCATCTCCAAAGACACACCATCACCCATACGGGTATGTGTCATCTCTTTGTACTCCTCTCACACTGCTGGTTTTCTTCAGCATGTAAAATAAATGAACATAATGTTCAAAATTATAAACTTTTACCATTGAGTGTTTTATCTTGTTGAGATTTATTAAAAAGGTTTTCGGAAGAGGAGCAGTGAAGTTTCCCTCAAGTACACTCATAGAGTCATGGTTATTCACCTGAAGATAGAATGGCACATTTCCAGTTTCACAGAATTACAAAACTTTGTGCAGTGGTTAATGTTTGACTCATAGTAGTTGGTTCATTGTTTCATGAGTGGCATATATATCATAATGTTTTTTTTAATACTTGTTATTTGGAAGACACTAATCTAGTGATGGGTAGATATGCACATGTATTTATGTACTTTGTGGGAGAACAAAAAGGTTTGTCATAGGCAATACAATCACTTTTTATTGCTGCAATATTTTGAAAGAACATGTTCAGTTGATTTAGAGATTGAAGAGTCTTCTGCACTGTCAAGTACAACTACAGTCAGTTAATGATGGTGGAGATTTCTGTATTCGGCAATAATTATGAAAAGATGCATTTCCAACATCAACACTTTGTTAGAGAATTAAACCACGATGTAGTCGTACTAAAATGACAACTGGATCAGAATGTAAAACTAGGCTACTATCTTTGATTCTCAATTGGAATTTGTTAGGTTGTATTATTGAGATGATGCGTATGGTTAATATTCTGCTCTGGTCATTTAGGGGTGAAGCCGTATGCTTGTTCCATGTGTGACATGCGTTTTTTCCACCGTTACCACCTCCAGAGACACAGCCTCACTCATACTGGTATGTGTCTTTCTGTCTTACCCCCCTTAGATCATATCTGAGCTCTGCTGCCATTGTCTAACAGGAAGTTGGAAGTATGCAATTTTAATATTAATTAGTTTAATATATTACTTCATACAGAAGAAATGGAGTGTCCACATTTATTTATTTATTTTTATTAAATGAATGTGCTCTTGTGTTAAAGTGCATACTGTCAGCTATCATTGACACTACAGATGTATACATTTCCATATTATTTTTTATTGTATTATACATTAAAGGGGTCATATGATGTTGCTAAAAAGAACATTATTTTGTGTATTTGGTGTAATTAAATGTGTTTATGCGGTTTAAGGTTAAAAAAACACATTATTTTTAGCTTTCACAACGAAACACACGGCGGGCTAGAGTGAGCGGAGGCCAAAGGCCTAGAGCGAGCGGAGGCCGGCTTGAGTGAGCAGAGGTGACCACATGTGAAAGACCCCGGGCTGGACTCCGCTTCGTCCACGGTGAAAGGTGATCCACAGCGCGAAGTTGATGTATTTCCTCAGCGTGAATAAAAGTTACGCCTTCTTTCTTTGCTTGAACATTTGGGCGGTGTTATGCAAATCTTCCCACATAGTGATGTAGATATGTGGGGGCGTGTTAGAACGAGGCGTTTTAGGTAGGCGTGGTTGACTCTTATCTTTTATGAAGAATATCTCTTTGGATTTGAGACTTTAGTCTTTGCAACTTTACAGATCTTCTTTATGCACCAAGAGCTTGTAACACTCCAAAGAGAATGGAAAAATTGAAATCACATCATATGACCCCTTTAACATGTTAGTTCATCCAAAATGACAATTCTGTCCACTTTCATACACAATTTTACAGTCAATGCACAAAATCAGACCAGAAAGAATCTTGATATTCTTCAGTCTAAATTTGAGAAAAATAATAATTATTCTATAGTTCTACAGTACTAGCGCATTAATCAAGAAAAAAAGAGAAAGCACTTTCCAAAAGGTAAAATGGCTAAAGCTATAAGCTCATAGTTACACTTTAACCCAATTTTTTTAGCTTAATTCCAGAACCTGAGCAAAATTATTTCCATATTTCTAAGGTGGCAGCACTGCAGTGTACTTCATGTCTAGTAGATGCTCAGTTTGTGAACTGCTCTTAGCATTCTATGCATAACTCACCCTACTTGGCTAATGAGACTGTAGACTGTATGTTGTTCTGTGAGTTGAGCAGTTCCCATGAGTGCTTGGTTTAAGTTGACGGGTGGCAGTAAGGCTAATACACTGCTACTTTGTGCATTTAGGGGTGAAGCCTTATGCTTGCACCATGTGCGACATGCGTTTTTTCCAACGTTACCATCTACAGAGACACTGCCTCACCCATACGGGTAGGTGAAATCTCTGTGTGTATATATCATTATGAATTGCCTCTCAAAGCAGGGCTCGCAAAATCGCCAGCCCGACGTCCCGGGGCTATTGTGTCTTCCAGTCGGGCTGCCAAAATATGTCACCGCCCTGTCTGATGGGCTATCTTGAATTAGTGATTCACATTGTTCACTCACTTGTAATGGTGAAATGGATCATTTGCATGCGTTGCTAATTTAAACATTTAAGCGTTTAAATCATTCAAGCACATGAAGAAGCGAAAGAGAGTACTGTTTGGGGTGCTGTTTTATTTGCACACACACTCAAAGCACGCACAGAGAGTGGTGTTTCAAACAGCGTCCAAACACAGAATTGATTCCTCTTTCACGTATACTTGAGCTTGAACGGACACATACACACAACATTTTCTCAACATACCTGTCTCAAGTATTCTTGTAAACACAGTCGGTTTTGTCTTGAGTGAACGTAAACAGTGGAGAAAGAAATCGCATGTGTATCATCCATAATGGATACGTGCATTCAGGCTGTAAATACCTGCTGCTGCTGTCATTAATGTTAATCAAACAACAAAACACAACTTTATCAAATTCTGAGCTATATTTAATTTATACAGTGAACACTATGCAGTGTTACTTTACACTTGATTACATTTCTGTACCTGAAAACTAATGTTAGACATTATTTTATTTGTAAGGTTGTTCAAAGTTAAACTTGCATTAATTTTACGTGGCTTTCTAAACATGCGGCTCCTTTGTGCGAGACGCAAGTGCAACGCTGATAGATGTCCCTCTAGAAAATGCGCGAAATGTGCGTTCTGTGTGTACGGCTTGGTTTCAGTTTTGATGTAAACAAGATCTTCTCCACATTGATGTTCTCTTTTTCTGCAATATTTTTAATGAACAACGCAGCAGCGCCGCATCTAGTGCTTCAACTGGATAGGCTAACAAAAACATTATAATGCAACTACACTTACATCATCATCACATCTCGTGCGCCACTGATAAGGCTGCCTCCTTAACGCACACCTATAATTCAAATGCAACATTTTTGCATTCGAATGTGGATTTTTATTTTAAATTCGAAAAGAAAATTTGACAGCCCTATAACTTTGTTCCGTTTTATTTGTCTACGCTTGTAATATTTTTTCTTTCTTATTTTATCATCGACGTTCACTTGTCTTTAAAAATGTTTGATCTTTTTTAGTTATGATACTAGTTATTTTCTGTTATCAAAAAAGTAAAGTGCTTTTTAAATAATGTGTTGCTTGAATTATAAAGAACCTTAAAGATTATTCAATCTGCGATTTAAAATCTGTAATATGATCTGAACCGTGAGTTTTGTGATCCATTGCACCCCTACTTATTTGAAGGAAATTACAATCATGGACGTTTTTAATCATGCTGATTTTCTGCAGTAAATTTCAGCCATTTTTTTTTATTTTTTTATTCGAGCTAGTTAAATTCATTTTGGGCTACCAAAATCTGAAGAATGCCTGATCGAAGGGCTACCGGGGATTTTGAAATTTTGCGAGCCCTGCAAAAGCTCTCAGTATGTTATGAAGAGAGACACAATCTGTTTAAACTACAACAAACTCGAGTTTGTATATTTCCTAATCATCAAGCATAAAAAAAAAAAGAAAACGCATGCTGACGATAATGCCACCTCCTTTTTTTCCAAAGCAGGATTATTTGTTTTGAATTGAATTGCTCATCTGATTACAGAGGAGGGGATTATGAACAGGCATGTTTGACAACTAAATCTTTGTGGCACACACAACATTTCATGTTAAATATAAAATGATTATAATGCACACACATAATACTTCATCTAATTTCTTGATGCTTTGTAATGTAGTCCACATGTATTTATAAGTTTTTTTTTTGGTTACTGCGGATGCACTTGGTATGAGCAGGATTTTTAAAAAAATTTTTCCCAAAAATGCTATATTAATAGAAACGCATACATGAACTGTTGGTGCTCTGTGCATTCAGGGGTGAAGCCGTATGCTTGCTCGATGTGTGACATGAGGTTTTTTCAGCGTTACCACCTGCAGAGACACAGCCTCACTCATACGGGTATGTGTCATCTCAAACCCCTGCCTTTTTGTAGTTAATGTTAGTTTTCTGCATGCTAAATGACTTTTAGTTCCATTTTAAGCAACAACCATTTTATGTTTCCTTGACACATGAACGCATAAAATGGACATTACTAAATGTTTTTAATTCACAGTTTAAATTCAAAGTCAACAACATTTTATTAATTTAATGATAGTGCTCCATGAAGGTCTTACTTTGTACCTGATAGATACGCAGTGTATCTGTCATCAAATGCATCATGTCACTGATTCCTTAATAGCAGCCTTTCATGTTGCTCCATATCCACCATTCCTAGAAACTGCTTATTTATTATTATTATTATTATTATTATTGAATTGCTGATAAGTTATAGATATTTCTACTTTTAAATGAATCATTCTCTAACCCACTCCTTAGGTACTGTTCAAATAAATTCATTAAGAGACAAGATTTACATTAAGTGCCCCATTTTTGACATTGTGTTCTGCCACATAGTTTAAAGGAATGGACAGGGTTCAGTATGCAGGTCTATTGTGAGCATTTGTGGCATAATTTTATTACTACTGAAGATAATTTTGACTCATCTCTCATCTACTAATTAAAAAAAAAAAAAAAACTTTTAGCCACTTTTACTTTGTTGTTTGGGAACATTATTTCCATTTAAAACCATCCAAACACACAAAACTGCATTAGACAAGCAATTTTTGGTCTTATAATATTGCAAGTGGTGTAATAAGTAAAATGGATTAAATGTCAGCATGCAGAAAAAAAAACATTACATCTTTTTTAAACGGCGTTAAAAATTGTTTTTTTGTTTTTGCTTTGAATGTTGTGTAACGACATTCACTCACTAAAATTGACTCTGCATTTAGGGGTGAAGCCGTATGCTTGCTCGATGTGCGACATGCGGTTTTTCCAACGTTACCACTTGGAAAGACACAGCCTGACTCATACTGGTATGTGTCCGCTCACTGTACCCCTGATTTGTACTCAGTATGCCTTGATTGGAACTAAAGTTTGTATATACTTTTGTGGTTGAGGTATTTGGGGGGAAAAAAAGAAAGAAAGAAAACAAAACTGAGATAATTGACTTATTCAAATGAATGGCCAAAATGTGTAATAATGATTTTTTTTTTAATGAGATCTGTTACTTTTGAAATATTTATTTCCTGCATCATATAATCCTGCATCATATAATATTTGCATCAAAGTCAAGACATTTAAAAATGTTTAATTTACTGCTCTTGGGTGCCAGTTTTGCAAGACTCACTTCACGCTTGCGTGTAGTATCAGGTTTCACAATATCTGTGTAGGTGTTCCTGCCTCATGTTTCTTTGGATGTGCTTTTGTGTTTGTTAAGTTTATTTACATTCATTTAAGTGTTAAAGCATAATCGATCGAAGAAAAAAAAAACTGTAGTGGTTTCTTTTTACCAGTTTTCAATGATCAGTCGTATTTATTCTCCAAGTAGGTAGAACATAACCTCAAGTCTCAAACTAGGTTTCTGATTTTTAAAACCAAAACCCCAGTGTGCCACTTTACAATCAAGCAGTTTTTTATTCCATATTAAACTCTACAAACTCGAGTTTGTATGGAGTCATATACTTTAATTCTTTCTAAGCATGAATATACTCTCTATTTAAGATTTCACGTGGGAACCCATATGACAGTCAGTCTCGATCCTTTCATGTCAGAAACAGTGTTTCAGAATCTTTGTCGATGTTGTGTGTTGTGGCATGCTGCGAGAATGAAGATGTGGGGTGCTTCAATAAAGACTCTTTTTCTCTGTTAGGAGAGAAGCCGTTTGCTTGTGACATGTGTGACATGCGGTTCATTCAGAGGTACCATCTGGAGAGACACAAGCGTGTTCACAGTGGTGAAAAGCCTTACCAGTGTGAGCGCTGCCAGCAGGTAAGAACACGCTTTATAACACAGGGGTTTTAAGATATAAGACAACTCCCATGATCATTCATTAGCCCCGTTCACACCGCAAGAAACTTGAAGCAACAAAGAGGCATTCGTTTTCAAGAGCTGCCGACTTCCAGCGACCGAGACTATCGGTGTCACAATGTGCCTGTGTCCATTTGAGAAAGTTGAACAATATACTTTAATATACTTAAAAATACTTAATATTATTATGCATTGAAGTCAGTGTGGAGCACAAGTGATCTTTGTCCCGTCAGATGCTGTAGGGAAATGTTGGAAAGATGGAGAAGTTAATCCTATCAGACGGAGTATGTAGTTGTTATAAGTTTTTACGTTAAATCAAATCACTGCAAACATATTGCCAGTTGTTCGTCAGGAAAAAAAGGCTTGAGAGTTGTTTGTCTTCTCTTTTATAATCTAAATCAAAAAGGAGTCCTCTCATGTACTGCTAGAAGCGGATATATTCAAGCCGCAGACCCACTTTTGCTAGATATAGATAGCTGCAATGACAGAGATTTTATACATCGTTTCAGCTGGCATACAATTTTCCCTCTAGAATGTAAATTTAGTGGCAAGAAAACTGATTTGATGTTAACAGCATGTAATGACATCTGCAAATGTTGTTCATGAATGTCACTATGCAACCATCAGTGTGAACGCCTATGAGCGACCGAGTTTGTAGTGACTGGTGACACGAAGCAAAGGAATTGTTAGCGGTGTGAATAGGGCTTTAGTCCTTACAGCTGTCTGGAATTTGTTTTATTACCATTTGGACCAAAAGTAACAATATAAGCAGTTAGGGAAATACTGCATTATATTGAAATATGTAGGCTCAGGCCCCGTCCACACGGAGACGCACTTAGCTGTATACGCATACATTTTGTATCGTATAGGCGTTCCGTCCACACGGATCCGGCATTTTGGGAGTGTGAAACCAATATTTTTTGAAACCGGGTCCCAGAGTGGATAAATCTGAAAACGCCGCCCTTGCGTTTTCGTGTGGACAGCGAATCCGTATATTTTCTGAAACGATGACGTCATCAGCCCACGTCTAGCCCCGAGTCAGACCCGCTACGTCACGTAACAGCAACAAAAACATGAACAAACACTGAACGATTGGCTTTTTATTAACTAACATTAACACAGATTAATACATTTATTGTTCCATGTTCGTTTGTATACCCCGCGCAAGGTTTATGCGCATAGTACAAGTCTTCTCCGTTTTTAGTGTATCTCTGTGGCAGAATTACAGCGCCACATGCTGGTCTGGCATGTATACTACATCGTTTTGTGTCGGTTTTGTGTTTTCGTGTGGACGCAGATATTTCTTGAGACGAGGGGAAAAAAAAGATCGGATAGGGAAAGCTCTGGCTTCGTGTGAACGTAGCCTCAATGTCAAATGATAAATGATGATGCCACTATTGCTAGGTAGGTGAGTGAACAGTTCAGTTGGTTTGCCCTCATAACACTTATGAACTATACAAGTTCACCATACATTCTGTCACCATTTACTCACCCGCATGTTGTTTCAAACCCATAAGACTTTGTTTAAAGGTGGGGTAAGCGATTTCTGGTAGCCAATGTTGACATTATCCGCCATCTCTATCTTTCTGTCGCTGGCTTGGACTGAACGCTCTCTCCTCCACATCATGAGTAGACACACCCCTTACTGCTGATTGGCTACAAGTTTGTTTTGCTATTCGGCCCGAATCAGTTTTCTAAAGCGTTTTTGAAAAATCGCTTACCCCACCTTTAATCTTCAAAACTAAAATTATAGGCTGTTTTTATTTAAACCTGAGTGGTTTCTGTCCCTCCATTTAAAGTCCAAGTAACCAAAACTTAAAGCGCCATGAAAATGGAATGAAATGAATGCAAACTATATGAGGTGAATCCAGCAGTAAATGAAAGAAGTAATTACGGTTTTGAAAATAGATATGACCAGGTTGTATATACAAGATGTCAAATCGGACATTCAAGACTCAAAAAGGAGGGAAGAGAAACCAATTTGTGACTTGTGTAAGAATTTTTATAAAATATATTTTAATAGAATGTCTAATTTTAAATGATATTAGACAATATACTAAAATAAAGCAATAAGCCCCGTGAAGCCGTCGTTTACAGTGAATTTATAACCACTAAGTAAAGCAGTAAGCCCCAAGAAGCCGTGGTTTACAGTGAATTTATAACAGCTAAGTAAAGCAATAAGCCCCAAGAAGCCGTGGTTTACAGTGAATTTATAACAGCTAAGTAAAGCAATAAGCCCCAAGAAGCCGTGGTTTACAGTGAATTTATAACAGCTA